GTATATTGTATTTGTAGTGACATTAGGCTGCAAAGTTTCATTCCTTCATCTTCAATATGATATGGTAATAGTAGCTTGAGACAACTGTAATAACGACCACAGATTGATTTGCTTATTTAACGACGCTTTATCAACTGAATATATCTACAGAGTCAAAGGTGGAACAATTTATGATCGTTGTATTGGAAAAGATGTGAAAGCAACTGGTCGTGACCAATGTTCTGCCCTTAAATCTGCAGAGACTAATACAAGTTAGGAAAGAAATCTCCCAGGATAGCTAGTGTGTGTGGGACAAATCATTTAACCGGAGATATGCTATTAGAAACTTTCTCAACCGTTATTCTTGTAACTGCCTCTGTGAAAGATGAGAGGGGAGGCAAATGTCACATTTCCACAAGCCTGTTGCATCAGTCACATGACACCATGGTGGGAACACTCATTGTTTCTGCACAAGGCCTTTTTTGACTCTGTGTTTCATTTGGTTGCAATGAATGGCAAAATCAAGCAATGTGTCTGCATCAAGTTTTCCGTGAAGCTCAGTAAATCCACTACTGAAACCCTTGAAATGCTTTATGAGGCTTTTGAAGAACACTCTTAACAGAAAATTTGAACATCTGCTGCATTGCTGTAAAGTTTGTTTCCCCCGACTCTTTACAAATGATCAAAAGCAGTGGCACATAAACGTGTGTCTTGGCCTGTGAGAGACACTAACAGGGACCCAACTTTATCTCTAGGATCATAATGAGTGATGAACGTTTGATTTACGGTTATGATACAGAAACAAAGCAACAATCGTCGCAGTGGAAGAGGCCACAGTTACAAAGAGCAAAAAAGATGTGGTGGGTGCAGAGTTCAACAAAGAGCGTCCTCATTTTTTTTTTTGACATGAAGGGGATTATTCACCGTGAATTTGTTCCTCGTAACACTGTGGTCAACTCTGACTTTGCTGTGATGTTTTGAGATGCTTGAGAGAAAATGTGAGACAAACAAGATGGGAACTTCAGCACAACCACAGCTGGCTTCATCACAACAGTGCGTCTTCATCTGCCTGAAAGTTATCACTGTATTCTGATAATTCGTCTATGTATTCAGTATCATTGCCATCTTGGTAATCCTTAAATTCATTGACTCCTCTCCAAGATGTAAAGTTATCCCTGTAACAGGCCATGGAGGCCCATATGGTTGTGAGACATCATGGCTCCCACGTTTTCTAAATGATCGGCTCATAGATGGTGGTGAGGTTGTTAGCCTTATGTATCAGCCACCCTTTACCCCCAAGGAAGGTTCCTGGTATCCATTTCTGTTAGAGGCTGAGTCTGTCTCAGAGGCACACATTTCTAATGTTCATGTTTGTACTGTTCATTGCAAGCTCATTACACATATTGTCTTTTTATTCCTGAAATACTTGCTTATTTCATGTTTTATATTCAAGTTATCCCCATTTATTTGGCTTGTTTCCTTTGGTCTAATAGTTTTGAACTTCTTTCATAAAACTATGGCTTATTCTTCTTCAGTTCATAATAACCTATATTCTATAAATGATATAAACTCCATCTCAAGTGCAAACAATATATTTTTTTTTGTGTCTTTGATCTTGCTCCCTACACTACATGTTTCGGCCTCAGACGGCCATCATCAGGTGTATAACACTCACGTCGCTGTCACACTGCACCCAGTTCAAAATTTAACATCTAAAACACTCTCCCTGTCATTATCAACTTCTACTTCGTTGATAGCTGTCCACCCGTAGATTACT